GCGACCGAACAACCATTTGACTGGTCGCTATGATGTGCACTGACCACCAGGAGGCAGATGCTCAATGCAGGAGCTGCCCTCTGGTGGTCAGTGCACTCCCATAGCTGGAGCACTGCTCAGCTGCCTGAGGGGCGCCACCACAGCAGCACCCTACTGAGCAGCGGCAGGCGCAGCAGGGCCAGGATGAGCAGGAGTAGCATGGTGCCAGGCCAGGCTGAGTCTCCACACACTACTACATGCCTCGGGGGAACCAGCAGTCCGACATCCCGAGGGGTCCCGGATTGCAAGAGGGTGCAGGCCAGGCTGAGGGTGCAGGCCACTGGTGCATGGGGCCTCTAGTAAGGTAACAAAAAGTCTAACCTGAGGATGAGAAACTAGGGAAAAGTTGCTGATCTCAGAAGCAGGGTTTACACCACACCTCCCCTAATAACTCAAAAACAAAAAGAGAGAAAGACCTCCACAGAAATTGATATTTTCTACCAAACTATCCAGTCGTTTTTCAACTGAATTAACTCTCTTTACAAAAAAAAGTTTTAATTGATTTTTTTTAGAGAAAGACAAAGATAGAAACATTGATCACAGAGAAACATCAACCGCTGCCTCCTACAAGCCCCCTACTAGGGATCGAGCCTAAAACCCAGGCATGTGCCCTGACCGGGAATTGAACCAGGGATGTCTTGGTACATGGGATGTTGCTCAATCCACTAAGCCACACCGGCCAGGCAATTGAATTAACTTTCATCTTTAGCTGTGTTCATGACCTAATCTGTCAATTTTTCTTGTTGAAAACTATCAATTTTTCTACTTGTTTGGCAGTCACTTTGGTGTTTGTCACAAACCTGAAAAAAGGTCGATGCAGCAACAATTTGAAGACAAAAGGAGAAGAGATCTGTAAAAGAATTAATTAGTTATTTCCGGGAAAGACACACCAGAGAAACATTTAATATAATGTTCCCAGCAATCTGAAAACATACCTGATAAGGCAAATTTGCTACACAAGCATCAAAGAATGGCAAATCTGTTTTCAATACATCACCCACCAATACTTGAAGTTTGCTGGCCAGAGGTCTGATAATAAAAAAAAAAACAAAAAAACTTAAAAAGAATATTGTCTTATGAGATTGAAATGCACTTTAATTCTATTATGAATACTCACGTGCCCTGAACTCTTTTGTGCAGTTCAGCTACTAGCCTTGGGTCAAGTTCACAGGCAATTACCTAAATTAAAAAATAATAATTATGGAATATAAAGCTCTTCTTATCTTAATAGTAACTCTTACATGATTTACATGACCTAAATTTCTTTTTTCCAATTCTACTACCAATATTCTTTCAATTGTTCCCTACCATTTCAAACAATGGAAAACACCACCCAGAAAGGTGGTCAGCTAGAGAGTACTACACAAATAATGGACAGAATTATGTTCATTTGGCTCCATGTTTGTAACTGAACAGAGGATGAAAAAAATACACAAAAGTCTGTGTAGTAAATGTTCTAGACCAGTGGTCTGCAAACTGCGGCTCGGCAAACCATGGCTCGCGAGCCACATGCGGCTTTTTGGCCCCTTGAGTGTGGCTCTTCCACAAAAATTGACTTCTGCGCATGGGCCATGAAGTTTCAATCGCACTGTACATGCGCACCCGCACGTGGTATTTTGTAAAGAGCCAGGCTCAAGGGGCCAAAGAGCTGCATGTGGCTCGCAAGGCGCGGTTTCCCAACCACGGTTCTAGACAGACGCACACAAAGACAACTGCTCCTAGAATGAGTATATCATTTCTTTCATCTATTAAGTTCAGAGTACACAGCATAGATAATTTCTGAATGTAAAGGGATACCAGGTAAGGCTGAAATTGTCATTTTAACTCACTATCAGCTGAGGTTTAATGACTTCCAGGAAGACCAAGTCTGCAGACTAGATACATGTGCTGCTTAGTCTATCTTACTTTCAGTTCCTTTCTCCAGCTTTCCCTGTGCCCTGTAGAGTGATGCAGTCCCCTCCCTTGCCTTAGATTTCTAGCTGGGATTAGCCTATGAAAGGAACCAGCATTGTAGGGCACAAGGACAGAGGCTGAGTATTTCCAAATGCCCGCCCATGCCTTTCAGGTGTTCTGGCAGTGGCTGTGTTCCACTATCAGTGGCCCCTGTTCAATGACTCAATAACACAGTTCCCTCCTCTTGTCCCTAAGTCCTTTGAACTGTTACCTGCTGTTGCTAGTCCCTGGGTCTTTCACTAATGCTTACTGGTTCCCTTTAACCCCATTTCCACACATTTTATAAGTAGTCACTTCACTAAAGTCTCTTCAAATAAGTGCCTTAAAATGTGCTACCTACTTCTACCCGAGGACAGAATAATCGTTCCATTTAATTGGAAACTGGGTCAGCCAAGAGACAAAGAAGACACCAGCAGTGGCCAGGTGGTACCCCAAAGCTAGGGGCCTGTGTTCTAGCTCTTTAGGTTCCAAAGTTCTAGGTTCCAATAACTCCAACTTCCTTCCTTGGTTTCCCTGAGCCTAGAGGTAATAACTGCTTTTTGCAATTATTATTCTTGGGTTACTTCAATGTTCTCATTTTATTCTTTTAGTCCTGTAACAACCATGTAACCAATTCCCTGTACTAATTTCCCTGTATTGAAATATCTAATGTGGTTTCTGTTTTCCTGACTGATACAGCCCACATTTTCTTTTAATCCCTTTAAAAGAATTAAGATATAGTTGACATATAACATTATATCAGTTTCAGGTATACAACATAATACGTATATATTCCAAGATAAGTCTAGTTAACATCCATTACCACACAGTCACAATTTTTTTGTTGTTTTATGATTAAAACTTTTTTAAAATCTACTCTCTTAGCAACTTTCAAATACACAGTACAGTATTGTTAACTATAATCACCATGCTGTCTGTTACATTCCCAGGACTTATTTTATAACTGGAAGCTTGTACCTTTTGACCACCTGTACCCATTCACCCATGTTTTCTAAGATAAAATTTCTAGCAAAGGATTAAGAGTTACTGTTAAAATAATAGCAATTAATTAAAATATTTATATTTATAAACCACCTGAGCTTACTCATATAGTCATTTCTGACACCAAACATGAAATCCTTTTACCTTTTTTGCCTTTTCTAGCAACTTAACAGTCATATTGCCAGTTCCAGGTCCAACTTCCAGCACCACATCAGTTGGTCTTAAGGCAGCCTGCAAGCAAACACAACCACTTTAGCTTTCCTGACCACATAATTTACACCTGAATATCTTTGCTAGAAAGCACTCTGTTAAGACATTTTATTCTAACTCAATTTTTAGGAGTTTCTTCATTGTCTATATGCTTAACAAAATTATCTAACATTTGGTGCAAGCGGAAATCTGACACTTTTCCTAACTTGGGACAATAGTTAGGAGTCAGAAACCCAGAATAGCAGTTCTTTCTGGGGTTGGCATTTTGCTTTCTACCTTGGAAATGATTTCAATAGCATCTTGCTACCAACTCTGCTATCAATAAATTCAAACTGGAAAGGACTATATATACAGTAATGATCTTGCCAGAGAATCATAGTGTGCTGTACCAGGATTTCTCAATTCTCAACATATGTTTGTTTTCAGGGATGCGGGAGTACCCAGAAATTGTACAAATAGTGGATGTTTGTATGCACACAACTGCAGTATTCTGGATCCATAGCTATTATCAGATGCTCAAAGGAATCCATGAGCCAAAAATGTTAAAAAGCTAGGCCAACCCTCATTTTGCAAATAACAAGTAGTCAAGATGAGGTCCTTTAATTATGTAATGCTTTCTACTGCTCCAGGATGCTCCCTTTGTGGCCATGAAAGTAATTTGCACCTCCTATATTTCATGTCCTAGCATCCCCAATCATCTGAAACAATAGAGAACATCAATAACACATACCGGAGGAATACTCCAAAGAGTTTATATGTGGAACTGCACTGTATCATATAAGTTTTTCTGGGGGAACAAACTTCCTAAGATCTCTGTTTAGACATATCTTTAGTCTCTGAAGTAAATAAAAACTAACAGTCATGGGTGGTGCCTAGAAAAAGTGATTGGGGAATAATAATAATCTGGAATTGAACAAATGTCCAGCTATGAAGTAGATAATCTATACAAAGAAAAAGAATTCGGAACCAGTAGAAATCCAGACCCACAGAATTAAAGCAAATCATGGCAAAGACAGCTTGTGAAAACTAGAAAATTCTTCAGTTCATTCAACAAGTCTTTAAAGAGCATCTACTTTGTGCCAGACATCCTCTGTGCGCTCAAATATTCCTAATAGTAATTACTTAGTAACTCCCTTTCCTTTTCCACACCCACCTTATCGATAATGCTGTTAACAATTAGAGGATTTTTCAAAATGTGCTGCCCAATCCCCGTGTTGAACATGAGTCCTGAAAGAAAACACGAAACAGCCTTAACTTTCCAACTACTATTAGGTATTAGAAGACGGTCGCAGAGAAGAAGGCACCTGAGAAGATGGGCGGAAGATTTCTGCGCCAATGAGACGCAGCAAACGTCACCCCTGGAGCCCGGCCTGACGCTCAGCCCATAACTTCTGCGGGAAAGGAAGCCGGAGACAGCGCGCAGGGCCCGCGGCCCGCGCCCCCGGAGT